TTTTTTTTTTTTTTTTTTTTTTTAGTTATTATTTCCCTGAGCCCAAAGACGCGGAGAAAGCGCGGCAGCGCCCTGGGCGCGTGGCGGCCCCACCCGCGCGCGGCCCCTCGAGCCGCGAGAGGGACGCGGGGTCGAGGGGTGCCGCCGGCTCAGGACCAGCAGCCGCGCCCCACAGTCCCTCTGTCTGCCACTCCACGTGGTCAGGATCAACAGTTTGTTGAGCTCATCAGTGACACCTTGAACTTTTCATAAAGAAAATGGGTATTGCACCGGGAGGGTTTGGCCGCGGCCGCCGGGCCGGGTCGTGCTTAATATTCAATGATCTCGCTCGCGCCTCCCCCTCCTCCCCTTGCAGAAATTCCACCGAGTCCGTTACTGGGCTCAGACTTTTAAGTTAATTTACTGCCCCCCCCCGCAACCTCGGCTAGTAACCAGCGCCTTTAGGGCCAGCCTCCCCCCCAGCTCCCGCCTGAAAATGACATTTCGCCGGCGTCTCCGGAGGGGGCTGAATTTCACTTTGTAACTTTCTGCGGAACCCGAGCCCGGGTGGCAGCTCGGGTGGTGGTATCGTATGCAAATACGCATGCTGACGTTACAGATCATGTGGGTTTTGGCGTAGATTCCCCACTGATCGAGACATTTTTTTTTCCCCTTTTTTTTTCCTTTTTTTTTTTTTCTTTTTAAAATTTTGGCCACTGTTCCCCGTACGGGGGCTTTTCCTGTCCGTCTGTCTGGCAGGCTGGCCGTGCCCCTCTTTCCCACGGAGCCCGAGCCCGGCGCCCGGTGGGGAGTGGGGAGTGGGTGGGGGGAGCCAGCAGAGTTCCATTTTGGAACGCCCGTGCCGTGTCTCCGCGCTCCCAGCCCGGGTCCCCGCGTCCCCAGCCCCGGCGCAGGTAAGAAACTTCGCCTCGGCGCCCCGCACCCCCCGCCCGGCGCCGCCAGCCCCGAGCCCCGCACGCCCGGCGCCGGCCACTCCAGCCCAACTTTCCCACCGCCGCCGCCGCCGCCGCGGCTCCCGAAAATGTGTTGTTAATGGGACTTGGCCGGGTTTGTGATTGGAAGGGGGGTGCGGAAGGGGGGGGTGCGGGCCCTTTTTGCGGGTGGGAGGAAATAAGAGGATCCGGAGGGGTGGGAGATTTTTTTTTTTAAGAGTTTTGATTACAAGTTTGGATAAATGGGAGCTAGACCGAGGAGGAGGAGGAGGAGGAAAAACATGTCTACGTTTCCCTATGTCGACATAAGCCACAAAAAAATATGGCGTCCGCTTTCGACAGGGCGTTACGTAGACCCGACTCTGTTTTTATTTATTTATTTCGTGGCCGTCTCCCTCTCTCCGTGGCCCAGCTGCGGCGCTTTGTGCAAACGGGGCAGGTCCCGCGGGGACTCCGGCGGGACGTGGCCCGGCCCGGCGGGTTTGGCAGGCAGGGGGGCTGCGTGTGCGAGCTGCCCTCCCTCCCCCGCGCTCCCCTCTTCTCCCCTCTCCTGGTGACGATTCGCCGTACTGTGGTGGCAGGAAGCATGACGCCGTGGGTTGAGGCTGCCTCTCCTCTCGTCGCCGCCGGTGGCTGCGGGCGGCTGCCCGAGCTACCTGCCGGGGGCAGGGCGGGAGCGCGGAGCCGGCCCCCACGCCGGGCTCAGGTGGCGGGGCGCCCGGCGTACGGGTG